TGCTGATGACACTGTGCCTCTTGGGAGATTCTGAAGAGAAGCTGCAGAGATTGGTAGATGAATTTGGTAGGGTTGTGCAAAAAGAAGAAAATTAAAGGTGAATACAGGAAAGAGTAAGGTTATGAGGATAACAAAAAGATTAGGTGATGAAAGATTGAATATCAGATTGGAGGGAGAGTGTATGGGGGAGGTGAATGTATTCAGATATTTGGGAGTGGACGTGTCAGCGGATGGGTCTATGAAAGATGAGGTGAATCATAGAATTGATGAGGGAAAAAGAGTGAGTGGTGCACTTAGAGTCTGTGGAGACAAAGAACTTTGTCCTTGGAGGCAAAGAGGGGAATGTATGAGAGTATAGTTTTACCAACGCTCTTATATGGGTGTGAAGCATGGGTGATGAATGTTGCAGCGAGGAGAAGGCTGGAGGCAGTGGAGATGTCATGTCTGAGGGCAATGTGTGGTGTGAATATTATGCAGAGAATTCGTAGTTTGGAAGTTAGGAGGAGGTGCGGGATTACCAAAACTGTTGTCCAGAGGGCTGAGGAAGGGTTGTTGAGTGGTTCGGACATGTAGAGAGAATGGAGCGAGACAGAATGACTTCAAGAGTGTATCAGTCTGAAGTGGAAGGAAGGCGGGGTAGAGGTCGGCCTACGAAAGGTTGGAGAGAGGGGGTAAAGGAGGTTTTGTGTGCGAGGGGCTTGGACTTCCAGCAGGTATGCGTGAGCGTGTTTGATAGGAGTGAATGAGACAAATGGTTTTTAATACTTGACGTGCTGTTGGAGTGTGAGCAAAGTAACATTTATGAAGGGGTTCAGGGAAACCGGCAGGCCGGACTTGAGTCCTGGAGATGGGAAGTACAGTGCCTGCACTCTGAAGGAGGGGTGTTAATGTTGCAGTTTAAAAACTGTAGTGTAAAGCACCCTTCTGGCAAGACAGTGATGGAGTGAATGATGGTGAAAGTTTTTCTTTTTCGGGACACCCTGCCTTGGTGGGAATCGGCCAGTGTGATAATAAAAAAAAAAATAATTAGGTGAGTACACACACACACAGACAACCCACACCTAGCCAAGCACGTACAGAAACTAGAGAAAGTGCAAAGGTTTGCAACAAGACTAGTCCCAGAGCTGAGTGGTATGTCCTACGAAGAGAGGTTAAGGAAAATCAACCTGACGACATTGGAGGACAGGAGAGATAGGGGAGACATGTTAACGACATACAAAATACTGAGAGGAATTGACAAGGTGGACAAAGACAGGATGTCCCAGAGATGGGACACAGCAACAAGGGGACACAGTTGGAAGTTAAAGACACAGATGAATTACAGGGATGTTAGGAAGTATTTCTTCAGCCACAGAGTAGTCAGGAAGTGGAATAGTTTGGGAAGCGATGTAGTGGAGGCAGGATCCATACATAGCTTTAAGCAGAGGTATGATAAAGCTCACGGTTCAGGGAGAGTGACCTAGTAGCGACCAGTGAAGAGGCTAAGACTCGACCCCTGCAACCTCAACTAGGTGAGTACATCTAGGTGAGTACACACACACACACACACAGAATACAGGCTAGTGGGCCAAAGACTGCAAACCTCACTGAAGGAAAGGATCTTGGGATGAGTATAATACCGAGCACATCTGAGTCGCACGTCAACCAATAATTGTTGCAGTATATGGGCGCCTGGCAAACCCAAGAATAGCGTTTCCACACCTTAGCAAGGAATCGTTCAAGACTGTATACCGTGTATGTCAGGCCCATATTGGAGTATGCAGCACCAGTTTGGAACCTACACCTGGTCATGCAGGTCAAGAAATTAGAAAAAGTGCAAACCACGGTAAAGGTGGGGCTCCAACTCATGGAAAGTGAGTCGAATTATTACCTTTTTGTGGGTCAAGAAAGTGCAAAGGCTTCCAACAAGACTAGTTGTGGCATGCAAAGAGAATGTTACAATTTATTCGGCATATGTACATGCTCCCATATAGACTACCTCCCAACCAGTGAACTGGGTGCTAAGAGTTGAACGATTTTTTAGGGAACCTGTCATTAAATCAGTACCTTGTTCATTGTCCAGTCACAGGCGAGCCTGCCAAATGCTGAGGCAACATGGTTCTCTCACAGTCAGCATTTATCAGACTTGCCTAGCTACTGGTTGATTACAGTGCTCTCTCTCTCTCTCTCTTTGGCTTCTGTTTTGCCATTCTTCGTCATCATGTGGTACACTTATATTCAGCTCCTGTACATAGTGTACATAAGTTTACAAAAATTGAATTATAAAATTGGTAAAAGGAAATGTTAAAAAATTTTTTCCTCCCCCAACCCTTTTCCCTTGAGGGGTTCCCCCCTCCAGGGGGTTTTTGATGTCTTTCTTGTTTCCCAAAATTTTCACATCAAAAACCTTTAATTTAAATTCTAGATGCAGTACATCGGGGGTCAGGGTCATGCAACCCCTTGAAAGGGAGACCAGGGGTTAAAATAGTGTAGTTTAATGAGAGAAAACTAAATTCCCCTTCCCTTGCAGGACAATTAAGGAAAATCCTGCCCCCCACTTTATTACCATGTTAAAGATAGTGTCATTGTTGCCCTTTGCCCGACAGCAAAAGATTTTCCCATTGCTTCCTGGTGAAGTTTGGAAAGGGAAAAGGGGAAAATATGCTATATCAGCTTTTCCTTTTTTTGTGTGGGGGACAAGGGGAAGTGCGGCGAGAGGTGTCTTAGCTTAGATTGTTTTTAAACCCTACCAAGACACATTGACACATGGATATAGAAAAAAAAACACTGATCTGTACTTTTGGGTGTGCAAAAAAAGAATCTAAAAGAACACATAAAAGCACTTACAGAAAGTGTATCATTTTCCCTTTAGTATTTTTAAAATTGTTAACAAACCCGGATGAACTTTTGGGGGCCCCAGCGGGGTTTTTTTAAATGTCCATTTCTGAGTGGGAAGACGGGGACTTTCTCAAAGTTTATTTCCCTTTTAAATTCAAGCAAACCAATACCCGGGTGAAAGGGGTAAATACAAAAAACCCAGGAAAAGTCGTTTTAAAGGGGGTTAAATGCGGGGTTTTAAAAAAAATGCGGGCATTTTTTGGGGGGAACCAATTTTGTCACTAACAGTTACCACAACCCCCCGGGAAAATTCCCCCATTTTTTTTTAAAAGCCCTTTTCCCGCATTCCAAAATAAATTTTTCGGGATATTTTTTAACCAACGTTTTTAAAGGGGATAATTCCTTTCACCATTTTTTTTTACACAGCCCCAAAAGGGAAAATCAAAATACCAATTTTTTTTCCCCCAAAAATCCCTTATCCCAGGCGGGCCCTTTTAGGGCGAAAGGGCCTGTCCTTTTCAAAAAGGGGCCCCATTACAGTATTCTTTATTTTTTGGGGACTAGTTTTTGTTTCCCAAAAGGTTAAAATTAAAAAAATTTTTTTGGGTAACCCCCCCCTCCCCCCCCCCCCCCCCCCCCCCCCCCCCCCCCCCCCCCCCCCCCCCCCTTGTATCCGGGGGGAATTGGACCCGGTCTTGTTTTTAATTGTGGGTATTTGGGAAATTTTTTTTCCTTATTTCCCCCCAAATTTTTTCCCCCCCCCTTTACGGGTGCTATTGCTGCTTGCTGTGTGCATTGCAAACACCCATGTTGATTAATCCCAACCTACACGGGTCAGGGGGTTTGGTTTTCTTAAAAAAATTCTACTAAATTGCCTAATCTTTCCTTCTGGGGGCCTTTTGGTTAAAAACAAAGTGTAGTATCGTTTTTTAACAGCTTAATACCTGATATGATCCCCAGGGGGGGTTTTTCCCGTATTAATCGTTTTTTTGAATCAGGGAAAAAGTGCTGGGGGCTTGTTTCCACCCTTTGCCGGGATGGGCCCGGGTATTGCAGCCCCTCTGGGTTTGGGTCCACTCCCTTTGGGGGTTTTTTTTTTTCCAAACTGTCTCCCATCGTTTTTTGGGCCGTGTAACCTCCTCGAAAACCACTTCATTCCTTGACTGCAGTAGTGTGAGGTGGTCCCCCCCCCCCCCCCCCCTTGATCGCGCCTCTGCCCGGTAAGCCCAGGAGAATTCCTTTAGTAAACATGGCGTTCATTACAAAACGCGGTCAACACGTGGGCCGTTAAAATTCTCAGTGGGGCAATAACCCCCAGCTTCAGCCCGGGTTTTTTACTACCTAAAATCATCAGAGACACTTTGGCATTCGGAGGGCAAATTTTGTACGGAGTAAAATTGAACGGAGCACTTTAGTTTTTTTGTGAACGCTCTCAGCAACGGTTTTTTTGATCAGCCCAACCGTTTTAAAGGGACGAAAGTCTTGATGAAAAACCCCCGCTTGCTTGTGAGGATAAACCAAATTATCCAGACATTATCCCATGGATTAAACTGCGTAATGCCCCCTTTGAGGCTGATGGGGAAAGATATCAGAAAAGTTTTTGGGGAATACGGAACTGTTCATTTGGCCCGGGCTTTGGAAAATTGGGTGACGGGGGCCTAAAAAGGGTTATGCCGGAGGGCCCCAAATTTTAAAAAACCAAAAAATTTACATTGCGACCCCCCAAAAAACCGTCTTCCCTTACCAAAAGGGAATTTCAGGCACAGGTCATGGTGTCAAAACCCCGGGGAAAAGGCGACATGCCGACTAGGGTGGGGAATATGATAACATAGCGGCGGAGTGGGGAAGCGGCAACGAGCTCCTGGCCCGGGGGGGCGGAACTTCACTTTACACCGGAGGGAGCAGGTAAATGTTAAACGACGTGAAGGAGGGCGGGGCGTCTAGGGACGGGATTTGGATGAGGGATAAGGCTGGGGGGGAGGGTGGGGGCCCTTGACCATTTTTTCCCGGGCCCCAAAGAACATTTTCCAGGGGAAATTGGGGTTGCCAAAAAAGTACAGGGGGAAGTGTTGGAAATTGAGGGGGAAACCGAGGTTCTAAAGTCCTTGCCCACCGTGGGGAGGGGGTCCCTCCGGGAAAAGGGTTTGGTAAAAGAACGATTTTGAAGGCTGTGGTGCATCAACAACAAACCCTATTGGCGACGGAAGTGACAGCGTGACTGAGGTGCACCGGGGACCCATTGCCATTTTGGGGTACGGGGGTTGAAAGGGGCATCCCCAACCCAACCCCTGGGGAAAGCGCCTGTCACAGAAAAAAGGGGCCGTTTCGTCGGGTTTCAGATGTTGCCCCAAAAGCCACCAGGGGAACGGGGAAAGGGCAATAGGGGCAGAAGGTAAAGGAAAGTGGTGCCCAGAAAAGGGGGCCCCAAAAAAAGGGAGGGGAGAGGGGGAAAGGTGCAGGTGCCCCAAGTGGTCCCACCCCTTTGGTGCCCATAGGAAGAGGAAGAGGGAGGGGGGGGGTGGAAAACTTTAAAAAGGGCCCCCGGGTGTATGACAGTAAACGTTAAGGGGTTTTTGTAAAAAAAGGGGGTAAAGAAAAATGGTTAAAATGTTTTTTGAAAAAAATTTAGAGGGGATTTTGTTGTTCCTTCAGGAGCATAATTTTAAGGGGGAAGGGTTTGGAAAAGGGGGGGTTTCGAGTGGTAACCCTCCATCTCCCCCGTTTGAAAGGAGGGGTGGGTAAATTAATCAGGGGCCACCCCTTTTTTGTTTTGCAGAAAAGTGATTGTTGGGGGGGGGGAAGGGTGTTTGGTAGATGGTTTGTGGTGGAAAACTGTGGCCTTTTTTAGTTATATGCGCCTGCAAAAGAATAACGTACGGGTGAAGGGTTTTGTGTTGGGGGCCCTTTGTTTTTTTTCCGGGCTTACCGGAGGTGGCAATATAGGGGGTGTTTGGGGAACTGCTCATTAGGAGGGCTGATGTGGAACCAAAGGGGGCAGGTTATGTGTCGGTGGCCCTACGAGATTTATTGGGGGATATTGGGTTTAAAGGGACCCTTTGGGGGGGGGACTGGGGACAGAGCTTACATTTTTTAAAGGAGAGGGTATGCAGCAGGTTAGAAGAGTGTATCTTTCTAGGGGGTTGTGTGAGATTTTTTAAAAAAGGGTTAAAAGAGCATGGTGGATCATAGAGCATGTTGGGGGGGTTTGGGTGGGGGACCCTTGCGGAAATTTTACAGGATTACTGGAAATTTAAAGGGAAGTGCATTGATGATGAGGAGGGGTTAGTGGGTTTTTTCTGTCCTATGGAAAAAGTTTTAGCGAGGAGGCAAAAGGGAGGGGAAGATGTCGTACAATGGTGGGATTGTGTAGCCAAGGAAAGGTTAAGGAAATATTATTTGGGGGGGGGAAAAACGTATAAATGTTTTTTAAAAAAATGGCCTTTCAAATTTTTAGGGGCGGGTTAAGGGGGGCTTTTTGGGGGGAAGGGGGCTGGGGGGGGCTTTTTCCAAATGGATGAATTGCGAGGTAAGGGGGGACAAAGGGATTTACAAAAGAAAAGGTTTAAAGCGGAAAGGGGTTGCAGGCGGGGGTAAGGAGGTTTTTTGGGGAGAAAAAGGCCAAACGGCGTTTTGTGTTGGACGTCAAAAAAAGACAGCGGGTTTACAGCTTTTCCGAGGTTAGAGGTAATGAGATGGCGAGGGGGGTTATAAAAAAAGGAATGTGTGCGTATGCGGTTTAAAGGGTTATAAAGGGTATTGGACAAGGGGGAAGGGTGGAGAATTTTGGATTTAGAAAAGGTGTGTGAGTAGTGACTTTAAATTTAGGGAAAGTGTTAAAAAGGGCTTTAGGGGGGAAAATAAGGGAAGAGGAAAAAAGGTTGGTTTTAAAGGGGAATGGGGAAGGGAAAAACCCCCGGGGAAATAGACGGTCCCCCCGGCTAATTTTACCTTCAACATTGGGAGGTGAAAAGGGGATTCTTTGGGTGGTTATTTAATCAGTTTGAAGGAGAAGGGTGTGAGGGGGGACAAGCAAGAAACCACCCGTTGTAGTGTTGGTCCTAGGGGGGTAAGGGGCAGCACCCCCTCAAGGAGTACCGTGCCAAAATCTCTTTTTATGGCTGATTATAAGTTGTTTGCAAAAGGGTTTTGGGGGTAATGGGTTTTAAAAATGTGTGGTGGGGGAAGTGGTTTCGAAAACGCAGTAGGGTTTTGGGCCTGGAAGGCGATGATTTAGGGTCATGGGTTTTGGAAGTTTTGGGGGGAGTCAAAGGGGGGGGGAGGGGGGCGGGGTTGTTGGTCTTTTAATGGGCAGGGGGCCTATTTACAGGGTGGGAAAAAGGGGGGCCCTTTTGGGAACTTTACCCTTTGGAGCAGGGTTATTTGGGGAAAAAATTTTTTTTAATTTTTGGGAACCACTTTTAAATGGAGAACTTTAAAATGAGGGTAAGATTAATGGTGCTTTTGGGGGGGGAATTGTAAGGGTTTTTGGGGCTTAGGGGGGGTGTCCCATGTCACAAAAGTTGTTTGGGGTGCATTCAGGGCCCCTTCTATAGAAGGTTTAAAGTTGGTTATGTGACACCAGGGAGGTGTGGGGGGGGGGTCGGGGAAAATGTGGCCGGGGAAAAATAGGATAAGTAGACGATTTCAACAGTCCCGGTTTTGGAGGGGTGGGTTGGGTGTTTTGGGTTTTTGTTGTGCAACAGTTTTGGAAATGCCCAAAAGGGAGGGAGTTAAAAAGAGAGAAGCCCAAAGATCAGGGGGGGGGTGTGGGGGGAGGGGGGGGGGAAGATGGAACCCTTGTGAGGAAAAAAACGGTGTCTTTAAAAAATTTTTGGAATCACCCTTTTAAGGGAAAATTGGATGCTGCCCCGAGAGGAAACTCGAATTGATTTTAAAGGAAAAGGGGTTTAGGGGGGGGGTGCATTGCGACCCCATAAACTGAAATCTCGTGCAACAGTGATTTTTTAAAAATGTATTATTGTATAGTAAGGTTTGGCACGGAGCAGCCCGTGTTTTCCCCCTTTTTGGGGGCGGGGGAATTTTGGAAATTCTGAGACGAGTGTTCCAAATTTTTGTGGGGTTTTCCCCGGGGGTGATTGGTGAGGAGAGAGGTTTAATGTTTTCCTGTTTCCCAGGGGGGGTTGGGGTTGAGGATCTGGAAGGAGGATTAAATGGTGTTTCTTAAAAAGGGAAATTTTTTCGCGAAGGTGGAGTTTGGTGGGCCCGCTGGGAAAAGTACAAAGATAAAGGGTTGGGGAAGTTTTTATGGGGGTGTGGAGTTAGGGGAAAGGAAAATGTTTTGAGGGCTTTTATGTTGGTAGAGAACCCCGGGGAAAAATTTGAGTAGGGGGGGTTTTTTGTAGGCTGCTTGAAGAAAGGGGTTGTTGTACCAGTTAGGGGTTTTTTTTTTTTTTTTTCCCCCTGTACGCATGGAAAAATTTGGTATAGGTTTAGCAAGTTGAAGTTAAAGCCTAGGGGAAGGGAGGTAACGTATCCTTTTCTGCATTTGGGATTCTACCGTCCGGGGGAGGGACAAGAGCCGAGGGGTAATTGTGGGGGGAAGGTGTGGAATCTGGGGGAGGATGAGACGGGGGGTTCCCAAAGCAGTAAACTTTTGTGGGGGGCTGGAGGGGGTTAGGGAAAAAGGGTTTAAGTAGGGTTGAAAAGGGGGGGGGGCCGGGGGGGGCGGTTCTGGGGTGCAAATAAGCCTAGATGTGGGAGGTTCAAGAGATGTTATAAGAAACTTTGGATTTATATAATAGGGGATTATAAATTTTTATTCCCTGGGTTTATGAGGGGGGGGGGGATTGTGGGTGCGGAGGCGGGTTTTAGGGTAAAAGTTTAACGTTCGATGGTCCCTAAAAGAGAAAATGTATGGGGGGAGGTGGGGGGAAAGGGGGTTTTTCGAAAGGAAAAAGAATGTTAACGTTAGGGTTTTCCTGAATCCAAAGACTTGGTCTGAGTGAGTAAGGGGGGGAGGGGTTTGGGGATTTCATACGAGAAGGGGGGGGAATTCAGGGGGGCACCGGGGTCGCCCCCGGGGGGGGGTGAGGTGAGGTGTAAGTGGGAATTTGAAGGTGT